TGTATCTCGCTAATGTGTGTGCTTTGTGAAACTGATACACCCTGCCAAGACATAAATTACTTACACTTTGATAAATGGGTGGAAATCAGGGAATGTTCAAACAGATAAAGCACAGCAATTCCTCTTTTTTCTCCCTTTTTGAAACTCCATTTTGAGCTTGCAGTTAAATGTTTTTGCATTATTACTGTAATACGATGGGAACAACGGCAGCAGTGATAGCCATCGAAAGCCCCAGCAAATACAAAACTCACCAAGGGGATACAGCCATGTGTTTTGTCAGTAACATCTAACAATGCTGACTTGGACAGAGTGGTTTGCCAACAGGTTCAGAACCACCTCCAGTCTCTCCCAGCGTGTCCTTTTGCTGACTCATTCAGTAGGTTGGAATCAAAGATCCACAAACACATTCTGTTGGCAAAGAGAGCTCACCTGTGCCTGGGATCTGGCTATGACTCAAATGCCAGTGAGACTGGAAATATGAGAAAACGATTGATTGATGTTCTGGGGTTGAGAAAGGTGTTTTCTACTCGGTCACTAATTTATCATATGGCACTGAACAAGCTGCTTGATTAACCATTAATTAGTTTCCAGGAGGCCCGAGAGTTCATACAACCCTTTGAAGACAGTTCTTGAAGAGGAAACATGGTGCTATCCACTGGACCATGCAAGAGCCATCAGTCATTCAATGCCTTTTGCCAGAGATTGGGCTCAGGAATTTCCATCCATTCTTTTATTTGGTCCTTACAATCAATCAGCAGGGAAGATATAGGTGAGAAAATGGGCTCACGTCAAACACTCAAGTGAGAAGTGAGGGATGTGAGGTCATCAGGCACCAAATCCCTGTGCCTTTTCCACCATGCTGCTTCCATACTGGGAGTGTAGAGATGAGTGTGGAGCAGGGTTATAGCTCATCCAACCCCAGTCATCCCTAATTAGGTCTTTGAGGTTAAGCATGAGCCTTGGGGACTTAGATCATACAACCATCTTTGCAGACCTGGTCTAGGAGAGGGTACCCTCTCAACAGTGATGCAGTCATCTTAACAAAACAGTCCAGGGAGAAGTCTGAACAAGTTAAACCAGAAGGAGAGTGAGTTGGGAGAGGAGGTATAATTATCAGCTTTTTAAGAAAATTAGCGAAATATTTACCCATTTAATTACACTCTTGTCATTACCTGATAACTTTTTGAGATTCGAATTTAGATTTGGAAATCAGTATTCATGATAACTGTCATGTATTTTAAAGTAATAAACAGGGAGGGGTGCCTGGGTGGCTCAGTTGGTTAAACGTCTGACTTCAGTTCAGGTCATGATCTGAGGGTTCTGGGATTGAACCCTGCCTTGGGCTCCCTGCTCAGCGGGGAGTCTGCCTGTTCCTCTGCCTCCTCCCCCCGCCATACTCTCTCTCTCTCAAATAAATAAATAAAATCTTTAAAAAAATAAAATAATAAACAGATGAAGTTATACACAGCTTTTCTCAACTTGTTTAATATTGTTGTCAAAGTAAGTTAGAAATGTGATGATCTAGGGCAAAGTAAAAAATTCAAATATATGTACATCTACTTTTTATCTAAAAATGTCTATTATCTAAAAAACTGGGGCCCCTGGGTGGCTCAGTCGGTTAAGCGTCTGCCTTGGGCTCAGGTCATGATCCCAGGGTCCTGGGATCGAGCCCCACATCGGGCTCCCTGCTCAGGGGGAAGCCTGCTTCTCCCTCTCCCACTCCCCCTGCTTGTGTTCCTGCTCTTGCTATCTCTTTCTCTGTCAAATAAATAAATAAAATCTTTAATAATAATAATAATAAAATAAAATAAATAAAATACTGTTAGCATTTTCCTTAGAGCAGGGACCAATTATAGGTCTGCGCTATAAGTTAAATTTTACTATTTTTTATATAAGCCTACCTTAAAATCAAGAGCTCCTTGAATGGGTTTGAACAAGTAGAGTATTGTGTTAGAATATATTTTTTAGAAATCAAATTACATTTTAAATTCTCATATGGAAAATCTTTTCTGAAGAGTTGAAGAGCCTTTCTAAAAGCAAATAATTGCATCTAAGTTATCTGTTTGATAAAATTAGGTTTTTTTTTTTTCTTTTACACTTTAATTTCTTAGCGTTAGTCACATATGTTTGGGTCAGATTTTTACGACATAAATTACTACAAAGAAAGTCTTCATATTTTTTTTTAACATTCAATAAATGATCATTTAGTATTATTATTCTTGTTTTGTTATTATCATTGAGTAATCTCAGAACCAGCCCAGCAGAAGTCCCAGAGATAAGAGGATTTCTAACATGTGTCTCATAATGGCATCTACAATGAGTAAAAGGCCAATACCAGTTAACTTGAAAACTTATTTGTCATTGGATGGTGGGTTCACTGTTGATAGGTTTTCAATAATGGAAAAGTAAGGAGAAAATCAGGCCAAGCACTAAATGAGGAAAAATGATCCAGGAGAAAAAAATTCAGGAAAATATATAATGCAAAACAAACATTTTGGGGGGAGGGGAGATCATGTTACTGCTGGGAACAAAGAATGTTCTCATACTTCTGAGCAAAAAAATATTTTTTGAATGGAAAATAGGTCTTAGTCCTGTAATAAAGTATTGATCGGCAGCACTGTGTATAAGGGTAAGATCTGAGGTTTTTTTAAAAAACCATTTAGAAGGGGAAAATGCAGGAGTGGAAGGAAGGCAAGAGTGAGGAAAGAAGTTTGTAAGTTGTACCAAGTCGGGGAGTGGAGATCAGGAAGTAAAGTTCTTGTGGACGAGCTTTTCAGCAAGTGGAAGGTATGTCTGTCAGCATGGACCAAGCAAGGCACATCTCATGCAATACTGGAAATGGATGGAAAATAGATAGCAGACTCTGGGCAACAAGAATCACAACCACAGAAAAGAGAAATTGGACCTTGATCAGCAAGGGGTTTCTTATCTGCCCATGTGTCCTTGGACGTCTTGCTGGGGAGAGACTGGCCATGTCAGTTGGACCAGACTTCATCAGTCAGTTCTCAGGAAACTCAAGTCATAATTGAAGCCAACACTGACCCCCATGGGCTAGTACCAAAGGATTTGAATGAGATTTGCACATCGTAATTAAGAGTATTCAAAATCAGGGGTGTCTGGGTGACTCTGTCAGTTAAGTGTCTGCCTTTGGCTTGGGTTATGATCCCAGGGTCCAGATATCAAGCCCCACCTCAGGCCTGCTGCTTGGCAGGGAGTCTGCCTCTCTCTCAAATAAATAAATAAAATCTTAAAAAAAAAAAGAGTATTCAAAATCAGAAAGCTAGTTACAGTGTCAGAAATACCCATGAGCCAGAAATCCAGAGTAAGGATTCTTCTTTTCCTGGTGAATATACTCACCTTTCAACATCAGCAGCAGAAAGAGGTATCGACTCAGGATACCTAAACCCCTAAGAAGGTGGATACAGATTTAGGTTCTCAAAATAGTAAGACTGTGCATCATTTCAATTTGGCCTTCTGCCAAATCTTAGTAATTTAAGGGAAAAAAAAATTTAAAAAATACTAGACATTAAGAAGAGACTTCAGGAAATTAATCAGAGGCAAATATATATTATGTACCCCACCCCACCCCCACCTCCCCACCCAAAGTACACAAAAAGAAAAAACCCACACATACATTGAAGTCCTTGGTTTCTGACTCTAACGTGATCTTGGGGACGAGGTATAGGTGAAAACAGTTTTCACAAAGCTCTATTAGAACTTAAACTTCTAAACTTTCATGAATCTATAGAAGATAACCTCATGTTATTAAGCTCTACCATATGTTCGAGTACAATATTTATAATCCAAGCTGTGTCTTCTTTTTTTCTCAAAAACTGGATTGAAAGCAATAATTTTTGTAATAATCTGAGATGAGTTTTACCAGGTGCTTTACCAAGTTTGGAAGGGTTTGGGAAACAGTTCATAAATACAGCTTCACTTCTCTCTCATCCTTTTCATCATGCTGACAGTTTTCTGGAGAATCATTACGAGAGTGCTTTGTGCCATTAGAGATAAGAGGCTATCTGTGTTTCCACTAGAAACATCTATTTTCCAGACTTTATAACTCATCCATAAATATTCACTCCAGGCAACAGTTTCATATATAATGATTCTGTCCCTCAAAATCAATATTGGCTTAATTAAATGATTTTTAGAAGTTATGAGGACTCTTACACTACAGAAAGAATAAAAAGAAACATCAGATGCAGATAAAGTACTATGTTTCAGTGGGTGTGATCCAAACCACATTCTGTGGAATCCATAAAACATTTGCATTCTTTCTTAGCAATTCTTTCAGTGTATATAATTCCATTGTAATAAAATTTATTGGATAATCTACAGTCTGTTATTAATTCAAAATAGATGTTTCCAATTTGTTTCTGTTTCTGTAAGGACCACAAAATTTGAAATTATGTTTTTTCAACTAAAACTTTTACAGAACTTCCTATTACTATTCACTTTCCTTTTTTTGTTACAGAGTTTGAGATGGAGTTATATCAAAAGCCATGAAATCATTTGACATAAGCCTTTGAATATAATAATACTCTTAATATTTCCAAGTATACTTAAGAGACTTATCAGTATTTTACATTCAGATGGTTTCTAGCTTCTTGGTAGAAACCTTCTGCATTCTGGAGTTGTCTTCTACCTGAAAGAGAAGATCTCAAAAATTGAATGTTTTTATCAAATGAGATACCAAAATATATTACTTCCTCCAAATCCGGAATGATAGTATTGTAAAGATTAGGAAACAGGGACTAAAACCACATCAACCCATTACAATGCAATACTTTCTTCCTAATTTGAAATTTGTACTCATGATTTTACACTGCTTGAATAGATGCTCATCTTGTTACACTGTTGAAACCAACTGTGTGTGTGAAATGCTTGTTTATCAAGAATTGAAGTAATACATCAAGCACTTCTCCTGTGCTTTGGCTTTAATATGTGTGCCCAAAGCCTAAACTCAGGTTTATTTTTCTTTTCTTCTTTTCAAACAGCTATTTTGTGACAGTAAGAAGGTGGTGCATGCCACAGAGGGGCTGGACTGGGAAGACAAAGATGCTCCTGGGACATTGGTCGGAAACGTGGTGCACTCAAGGATCATCAATCCTCTGCGCCTGTTTGTCAAACAGTCTCCAGTCCCAAAGCCTGGACACTTGGCATATGCGGACAGCATGGAAAACTTTTGGGATTGGCTGGCCAATGTCACGGAGGTTCAGGAGCCATTGGCAAGAACTAAACGGAGGCCAATAGTAAAGACGGGAAAATTTAAGAAGATGTTTGGGTGGGGTGACTTCCATTCCAATATTAAAACTGTTAAACTCAACCTCCTCATCACAGGGAAAATTGTTGACCATGGAAATGGGACCTTCAGTGTTTATTTCCGACATAATTCCACAGGCCTAGGCAATGTTTCAGTGAGTTTGGTACCCCCCTCCAAAGTAGTGGAATTTGAAGTTTCCCCGCAGTCTACCTTGGAGACCAAGGAATCCAAATCTTTCAATTGTCGCATTGAATATGAAAAAACAGATCGGGCGAAGAAGACTGCCCTGTGCAACTTTGACCCATCGAAGATCTGCTACCAGGAGCAGACCCAGAGCCATGTGTCTTGGTTGTGCTCCAAACCCTTCAAGGTCATTTGCATTTACATTGCCTTTTATAGTGTTGATTATAAACTTGTGCAAAAAGTCTGTCCTGACTACAATTACCATAGTGAGACTCCATACTTATCTTCTGGCTGAATCATTCCACAGTGATATAAATGAGAGGTGAATATATATTTAATTAGAATGACCAAGAACCAAGCCCAACTCTTCATGGTAAAGGATCCCTTTTGTTTCTGGCAGTGAACCTTAGTTCCCTATTAGGTTTTCAAATTGAAAAGAAAAGAAAAGAAAGAAAAAGAGAAAGAAACACCTTTAAATGTGAAATGTGTTTGTTTCGGTCGTACCTTAATCCAAAAAGTCAAACTGTGTGTGAAGCCATCGCTTTCATGTAGGATGGCTAAGTCCTAGAAATACTGTTGTTTCTCCAAAAGCAGCATCAATGGTAGCAACATGTAATGAGAAAGAACCAAATTATGCATGTAATAAACATTGCTCTTGAAATGAGCCTGCCTTTGAAATATGTTTTGGAAGGTTACCTTAAAAATAGATTCAGTAAAGTAACTGAAAAGATTGCATTTGATAGATGAATCACATTTCTGCCATCAAATTCTTTTTTTATCACTGTTTCTCCCCCCACATCTGTGCTGTTATTGATATGAGAGATGAAGGGGTAAATTTGTTTCAAAACTCATGTGCGCAGTTACAGTGCCACAGTCGAACTAAACACATTGTTATCTGAGTGAGGCTGGGGTGTGACTCAGACACTTAGCCCTGTGTTGGTCACCATCTTTAGGATTCTCATCCGAGTAGTAATATTGGCCTATTGGGAAAGCGAATCTGGATGTATTTTAAGTCAGTCCCACAATCATGAAGATCATGATGTTTTTAGATTCTTTTGCCAAATTCAGTGCCGTGAGATTGCCAAAAATACCGTAAAATCTGTATTCTACACTATAACCTGTAACCTCATTCTATTCATTTGATAGTGTGAGTTTATATACATGCATAGAACAACTCTGAAATTGAGAGAAAGTGATTGTTCCCTAGGCAAGGACAGGGGAAAAAAAATTGGAAGTGGGCTGACAAAATTCCAGGATTATGGTTTCATTATTTCTAGCCTCCCAGATTAAGTCCTCTTTGCGTTTAGTTAATTATTTGAGGGATCAAATTCTATGTGGAAATAAAGAGTATATTTAAACATGACTGATTATTAAGTGCTAACAACCAAGATACCTGACTCACCAGGCTTTTGAAATCACTTCCAAATTAATGTGGCTTCACAGTTGGAGTCCTTGCCATCTTCTCTGGAGGGGGGTGGAGGGGTGAACAGGCATCCTGTGCCATAGAACTGGATGATCTTTGCATCAGCACAGAAAGAGGGTCTGGCTGGCCAGTAATAAGGTTTCTAGAACTCATAAGACTCAAGGAATGGTTGTTTTTACAGTAGGTGTTCACTTTTGCCCCCTTATCTGTAAAATATCAGTTGAAGTAAAATATTAAACTAAAAGAAGACCAGTCTAACCAACAAAAATTCTCTTACTACATTGTTTGAAGAGCCAACAGCTCTGTTCTCTATTTTGCATCTCCATTCCTTTCTGTTTACGGGTGATCTCTGTACAGTGTTTGATTTTGTCTTTTGTAAAAAATGTACTAGGCTTAGTGTGTGGTAGTACAGGCTTGCAACTTTTGCTCTGAGTTCATCAGGTGCTTTTGTAGTTTTGTGGTTGGTGTGAAATATTTTAAGGCATCTTTTTATTTTCATCTAGAAACAGGATTAAAATACTATTTATTGTAAAATATGTGGGAACCATATATGTGTATATACTTGGAATTTTCTGTGTACAGAGAAAGTATGTGTACACATTTCTATGTAAATAAAAAGAATTTGCTAAATCTGTCACATGACTTCAGGGTGTTTTTTTTTTTTTTGAAGACTCTTCTTGGTTTCATTCTCACAAGGGTTTTGTGTGTGTGTGTGTGTGTGTGTGTGTAAAACACCAAGTGAGCATTAAGATTTTCCTTATGTATGTATTAAACAAAGCACCTTGGCTATGAAGATGTTAATGTAGAGTAAAAGGATAATTCATATAAAGTACTTGACATATAGCCTGGCACCTGGTGAGAACTCTATGAGTGTGAGCTTCTATTATGATTGATATTAATTAATATTATTATTACAACATGAAATATGATTAAGAACTCTCTGATGTTCAAATGTTGAGTGATATAAACATATCCATGCAAAGGGTAAAAATGGAGATCACCGTTTACACAATTCTTAGATTTTAGCAGGATTTGTGGAATTTAAAAAAAAAAAAGAAAGTTTCCCTAGGCATATTTTTTAATTGGAGTAGAACATATGCCACATACATTTTTAAGTCATAATTTCATTTCAAAGACTACATAATTGTCAGTAATGGTACTTGGCACAATATAAATCAGATCCCATTTAAACATGCAAATGCATACATTTCTACAAAACCATTTTTGCCTTTGAATATTGCAGTTGAGGGAAAGGACATTCATGTAAGCTAACTTTACACTCAATTACAAAGTCTTCAAAAGTTAAAGAATAGACACTTTTAAAAATGAAAATTTAATCATTGTCACCTGAAACTACCATAATGTTACTCATCAGTTATACTTCAATAAAAAAATTTTTAAGTTAAAAAAAAAAACAGAAATTTAATCTTCAGGGAGATGTTGGGCGTCTTTCAGGGGCTCTCCAGGCTTGCTGCTTACTAGAAAGCAAACTAGTTTGAAGACCTTTTCACCCTCAGCAGAAACAATCTTTTTACTCACCACACTGAATCAGGAAAGAGACCATATTTCCATGACTAAGAACAATGTGATCACACCAGCCACAGACTCTATAAGATCTGTGGAAGGGAAATGAGAGAAAGAGCCTGTGGACAGCACGCAGCAAAGCAGCAATCAGTAAAAAGGGAACAATTTTCTTACTGCTTGGTACTTGGAATTGCGAGGCATTCTCATGATTCGAGTAACAGCGACAAAGGATGTAGTTCTCTGATATGACCATCCATAAGAGCACCTGATACATATTGCATGATAGTCTTTAATCTTCACTCTGCAACACCTTTCTTCTTTATTTTACATGATTCAGATGCTATGTGCTACATTTTAGGCATGATTGCTACATTTTAAACATTCCACAATCTGGCTAATTCTGTCTTCATTCAAGACATGGTTCTGCTGGGTTGGAGCTGCAGTAACATCTCCCAGAGCGAGCCCTGCTATTCAGAGTGCGGGGGGCAGATCCACAGTGTGACCTCTAAGCTTGTTAGAAATGCAGAATCTCAGGTCCTAGCCCCCGACACACTGAATTAGGAGTTTTCCTTTTTAACAAGATCTGCATGTGACCTGTATACACATTTAACAACTAAGAGAAGTATTTCCCTAGAAAGTCTGATTTAGTGAATGTGCTACAGGGATTATATACTTTTTATAGAAAATCTATATCTTTTTTTTAACCTTTAAATTTTTTTTAAGTATAGTTGACACACAATGTTACATTAGTTTCAGATGTACAACATAGTGATTCAACTTCTCTATACATTATGTTATGCTCACCAAGAGTGTAGCTACCATCTGTCACCATGCAATGCTATTACAATATCATTGACTACAGGAATCTACATCTTTTTTATTTAAAGATTTTTTTTGTTTATTTGAGAGGGAGAGAGAAAACGAGCAGGGGGAAGGGGAGAGGGAGAGGAGAAGCAGACTTCCCGCCGAGCAGGGAGCCTGATGTGGGGCTCGATCCCAGAACCCTGGGATCATGACCTGAGCCGAAGGCAGATGCTTAACTGACTGAGCCACCCAGGTTCCCAGGAATCTACATCTTAATAAGCATCCTAGGTTATGCTGGTTCAAGTAAGCTTCTGAAAATACTTCCCAAAAAATAAATGAATAAATAAAGGAACAGACCCTTTTAACAACAAAAATTAAATAGATTGATAAATAAAAAGTGATCAACCTAATATTAAGATGTAGAAGATTAATATTTCAAAGAGAGTGCAACCTGCCTATCTTCTAGTTCAGCTCCCTCATTGGACAGACAATAGACCGAGGCACCATCATAGTAAAGAATATGCCCAGTAGTAAGTGGCAGACCCAACTGAAATGAGGGTCTCCTGACTCCTAATCTCAGGTTTTGTGTTACATAAAAAAAAAAGTCATTGAAACTGATATTCAAGACAAAACGAAAATAACTGCAGTGAATGTCTAACAAGACACGATGCAGAAGGCAAATGAAATGCTCTCCCTCCAAAATCGTCAGGCTTATAATTTCCCTACGAACATAAAATTTTTAAAAACTAACCACTATAGAAAAATAAAGTCAGGATAGAGTGATTATATCCAAAGATAAGAGTCCTGAGATATATTAGAGGTATGACTGGCTAAGAATTAACAGCAGTAAAATGCCACCTTTGGCAGAATTTTCCAGTAATTATAACACCTGAAAATATATTTTCATAGAGCTAGGTAAATTGTGTGAAATACTTTAATTGCCTGAAGGTCCAATTTTACCTTATAAAGAATCTTAAATTAATTGGTCTATAAAATAGAGAATGGAGTCATGCATTTTTAGTTGCAGTAAAAACAGTTAACCCCAGTTTAATTAATCAGAACTTTCAATGAATGGAAATGTAATATGTGCAATTGTAAGAGACAAATCATAGGGAAACAAGGTCTCATTAGAGATGTGTTTCTTCACAAAAATCTTATAGAAGATAAAGGGTCTTTTTATATTTACCTTCATCTCCTACCCCATATGGTAAGGTCCGGAATCCTAGGCATGTAACCTCTTCTGCTTCATTTTTTTTTTTTTTTAAGATTTTATTATTTATTTATTTGACAGAGAGATGCAGCAAGAGAGGGAACACAAGCAGGGGGAGTGAGAGAGGGAGAAGCAGGCCTCTCACAGAGCAGGGAGCCTGATGCGGGGCTCGATCCCAGGACCCTGGGACCATGACCTGAGCCGAAGGCAGACGCCCAGCGACTGAGCCACCCAGGTGCCCCATCTTCTGCTTCATTTTTAATCTTCCCCTTTCTTCATCCAGCTCAGCTCCTTCATAATTAGTATGTAATCTATTCTCAAAAAGACTGAATTAACTCTTTTGTGTCCTCCACAGCACCTAGCTGGTAAAAGTGGTTACTTGATCAATAACTGTCACTTGATTTTTTAAAAAAATTTCGGATAACAGGAGAGGAAGAAAAGGGGAGTATGTCAGAGGGGGAGACGAACCAT